CATTAAATAAATGTGACTCCTGTGTAAAGCGCTTCAGTGATCAAAATGACTGGGAAAGTGCTGCATAAGTTTATTTACCATTTTTGAAGGAAACTAAATGATTTGAGTAAGACTGACTTACATCTGTTATCTTAAACATACTTAATAAATTTGTTTAAAAAAATTAACAAATTGAGTTGGATGATTATAATATATTGAATTGGTTAAACTTAATAAATTAAGTTGGATAAACGTAATTGAATTGCTTGTTACTTATAGAAGCAATTCAATTAAGTTGGTTCAACTATTTTCTTTGTAGAGTAATTCTCTGTTTAGTTACTTTGGATTTTCTGCTGTGATAAACTGTTTGGTTCTCCAGCTGCATCTCATTTTATGACCTTCATTCTGAACTGAAATAATGAATGAATGAACTTCATCTGCCAGAAAGTTTTTATTAACAAAATGATGAAAACACAAAAACGTTGTAAAGACATTTGAATTAAATCCCATCAAAGAATTCCTGATAGACTAAATATAAATAAATATAACATATATATTTATCTGATATGAATATTTCCAGAAATTAACCCTCTTAATTACAGAAATCATAGTTTAAAAAAAAATTTTCTCAGATTATCTTCATTTGAGATTAACAATAATCTGATAATCTGACATTTACTTAATGCAAGAGCAGAAGAAAACAATAAGGGCATAAATACTTTTTCCAGCGCTACATTCACTCCTGTTTAGTCGACCAATCAGACGTGAACTTTGACTCATTATCACGAACTCTTCACATTTAAAGGACCAGTGCAACTGAACCTCTGGAAAATGGGATTATTAGATTATTGGGAGATTATTAAAGAGATGAGGAGTGTTGAGCTGTTACATCCACGACTGTGGCTCTGAGGGAAGAGTCGTCCTTTGTAGATTCGATTCCAGCTTCCTCCTGCCACATGTCGATGGGCCCTGGGCGCTTAACCCCAAACTGCCTATCGATCTGCATATCGGTGTGTGAGTGTGTTTCTGAGTGCAAATGGGTGAATGAGACTTTAGGGTAAAAGTGCTTTGAGTGGTCAAAATGACTGGAAAAGCACAATATAAGTTCAGTCCATTTACCATTAAACTGGAGCTTCTTCTCAGTTCAGGACTTTCATCAGAAAAGCAGTTTTTGTTGAAGCCACAGATCTTCATGGACAACCAGAGACCTGGAAAAGAACCGGCTGGTTCCTTTTCTCAGCAGAGCCTCAGATAAACGATGAGCTTCAACTGTTACAAAGTGATTCCCAAAGAGACGTTTGATGAAACCGGCCATGCAGATGATCAGCTTGTTATTAAAAACTGTTATTTTAGTGGAGAAGCAGCGGCTCCACCACCAGATTCCCAGGCAAACGGCCATGTAAAGTCAACTAGTCCCTCCGGTTGGGATCCAGGTTTCATGACCGTCACTGAGGGTCAAAACGTAGACGGACCGGTAAATCAACAGCTTTTCTCTTTGGCTCAGCTATTGTGTTTCTGCACATAATTCACATCAACCTGAAGCTAAGCTAACTAGCCTGCATGTGACATTCACATTGTTGAAGCTTTGATCAGGGACGGTCAGTGAGAGTACCACCTTGGCCTTATCACAGCTGCTATCTAAGCGGCTAACGGTGCTAACGGTGACGTATCTCCATCCAGCTGTGATGCAAATTTTAAGCAAACATTTAAAATGTTGTAAAAAAGAAAAGAAAAATGTGAGATAAGCGTCTCCAGCGTCTGGCTTGGAGTGAATTAATCAGACTACACAGAGTGATTTTATCAGACGCTACGCATGGCCGTGATAAACAGGAAGCAGAGGTGGCTAGCTAACATGGACCACACATTCAGATAAATGAAGAGTCTTCCCCTACAAGCTGGAGGCTTGGACTTTGAAATATTCCTGAGTTTTGTGTTTCTGGTAAGGCACACCGGACCAGTGGATGGGAAAATTAGACCTTATTCTGCAAATGTGCTTCCATCTCCCCTCTAGCACATTAACACAAAAACCACCTCAAGCGAGCTTAAAAATGATGTTGGGAAATTAAGGATTTTGGATTTTGCTGGTCCAACCACCTTTTCTGCTGTGATACTTAAAATGAGCAGAACTGAAACAGTGATGGAAACACAGAATGGACCGACTTTCAGACTCGCTTCCTTTGAACCTGAACCACCTGAAGCACGAGTGAAAAAGCCGAAGCTTTAGGAAGATTCTGGGAGACGCTCGTAAAACCTTGAAAGTCATTGATCGACACTAGACAGACAGCATGACTCTACTGTCAATTTCAGTCAAATAACTGAATAAAGTCCCAAAAATGTGTTGGCCTTGATGCTTATGAGGTTATATGATGATTATATGATGTTGTTTGAGAACACCTCTGTGTTCTTCCTGTTCATAAGAGGATGTTCAGGTTAAACTATTAAAGGTGAAGATCAACGACCTCCCTCCACTGGCGCCAGGTTCAGGATCTGTTGGTGATTCGGTTCCTTCAATAACTCCTGTAAGATGGATTTACAGCGTTTTCTTGAACTTCCAGTTTGGATTTTGGTAAAGATGGGTTCAGGAGCGTGTGAAGTCTACAAGACGCTGGTTTGCTTGGTCAGTGAGACGACTGACAACTTCCTGAGGTTCCTGAGGGAGTTCATCCATCCGTCGCTGCTGCGCCTGTCGGTGGTGTCCGGCTGCGTCGGACTGTCCGTGTTGTTGAAGACCCGCCTCATGGTCATCTGGGCCCGGAACGCCTTGCAGAAGATGAAGTAGATGAGAGGGTCCAAGCAGACGTTGAGGACCGACACCAGGACGGTCAGCTCCTTCAGGTAGAAGAACCACCCTCCCCAGGAGCAGACCAGCTTCTTCATGAAGGCGTAGGGAAGGCGAATCAGGTGGTAGGGGACAAAGCAGATGCAGAAGACCGTGACCAGAACCAGCATGTTCCGCCGGGACTTGGCGAGCTTCTTGGAGTTGCTGGAAATCGACTGATTCTTCTGCGCCTGTGCCAACCTGCGGGAGGTGCTGTGGTAGAACCAGATGAGGCTGATGAGGACGGCCACAAAGATGGCGGCGGAGCAGGCGTGGATGACCTTGTAGAGCAGGCTGAGCTGATGGCTGTGCAGGACGTCACAGCTGACCATACCGGGCAGATTCTCCTGATCCTTCTGGGTGAGGAGGGACAGGATCACATAGGAGCTGGTCATCGTCAGGAGGAAACCCCACGTCAACATGGAGATGATGTAAGCGGCTCGGGCCTTGTGGATGAAGTGATTTCCCAAAGGATGGACGATCTTCATGTACCTGCAGGAAAAAGAGCCATCAGAAAGTAAAAAACCCAGTAGAACTGATTCCAGCTGCCGTCTGGGTAAAAACTAGGCTGACATGTTCAGGACGTGAAGTTTGGGGTTTTTGTGGTTGTTTGGGACCAGGACTTCCTGTTACAGACAAAAACCAGCTGACAGTTTAATCAAAACAGAAAGCAGTGGCTCTGGAGATCGACTCACAAACTCAAAGGTTTGGTTTGTGTTAGTTATCCTAAAAAAGTCTGGTTTAAACTACCTTTTATCTACAAAAACTATTCAAAGTACCTTTATATGAAACTGGCACATGAAGCAGCAAGAAACATTAAGATTAGACAGGAAAAAGATAAGAGATAAAAACTGGCCTAAGGATTACATCAGTGACAAAAGAACTAAACAAATAAACAGTAATTTCTATTCAAATCCATTTTTAAGGTTCTTCTTAAGTTTAGAGCAAATGAATTATATTTGTGTTGTAATTCCACTAGAGGGCAGTAGAGTACAGAAGGTTTCATGTTGACGCTCAGGACCTTCTGACATTGTTGGTGTCAGACCATTTAAAAGAGGAAAAATGGAAAATAAATGTATTTACAGGAGCTCCAGAGGTTCAGGGATCCACCACAGATCTGGACTCGTTCCTGGAGCCGTCGTCCCGATAAGACGCTGGGAGATTATATCTGACATTTGGAAACCCTTACACCAGCTGAAGGAGGACTAGTCTCCACCACCTGGTTTCAGGTGAGGAGTGGGAGAAGACAGATGGCTGGACGGATAGAAAGCGATGCACAGCATCAAAGTTTAATCACAACGTCACTGAAGGTTCAAAACCGAAACCTGAGCCGCCTCAACCCGTACATTTACCACTTCTCCAAGTCCAGACGGTCAGACCAAGCCAAGCACAGTGATTCTGTGTTTTTGGTCAGAACTGGCACAAACACACAATCTAAGGATTTACTCAGTCAAACCAGCAAAAAAAAATTCACGGAGACAGAAAAAGACAAAGCCTTCAAAACAGAGAAGATTGTTCAGATGAAACGTTTCAGACTGAATGTGAGAAACTCTCAGGCCCTAAAGGTTGGAGCAGGAAGTCAAATGGTTTCGAGATGGAGATAAAAAAGGAAAGAAAAGAAATAAAACAATGCGAAACAGGCAACAAGAGCCAAGTCTATCACAGACGTACAACTCGAACTCAGTAACTTCACAGGCTGAGTTTGAAAGAAGCTGTAGAGATTAAAATGTGCATAGATATCAGCAGAAACAGATTATTACATCTGCTTGGACTCGTGTTCAGAAAAAGCCAGATTCACAGCTGGGTCTGAGCTAACGACGCTTCAGACATCAGTATTTTTCTGTTAGAGTTTTAACCTCTCAGCTTTCATGGATAAATTTAAAAATGTGAACAAGTCGCCTTTCAGGAAGGTGCTGGTAGCAAAACATCTCGGCTCAATCTTAATAACTTCTTTATGTTTTGACTAAACCGAGATCAGGAGGCTTCATGTTCCTGAATGGTTTAAACAAAAACAGGGCTGGACTGATGACGAGTGGAAAAGAAAAACCTCCAGGAAACTAGAAGCACTTCAAAGCACTTTCCACTGATCCTTGTCATCAAGCTCAGTTATTCAAATTAGTTTCATAGTTTTCTATAGGAAGCCCAGCAGAGCCTGGAGCCGCTGGCCTGCCACCGACCGACGCTCGCATTGTCGTTGACTTTGCAGCAATCCCTCATGCACATGACAACAGCAGAGAGGAAAAACAGGAAGCTGGACCTGGTTCTGCTGGGTTCTGGTCCAGCAGAACCAGAACCGGGCTCAGTGCATGCAGCCATTTCATACCACAGCTCTGAGTCTTCAGACCAGAAAACATTTCAGCTCTAGAGCTGAACAGCAAACTGCAGGAAGTTAGCATGAAGCCTGCGTTCGCTAAACCACATCCTTAACCCTCTTCTCAACTTTCAGTGTGTGAATCTCATGTTAACGAGTTCACACAAATACCTGGTTTCTGATCTGGAGCACCTGAGACTCTGATCACACAGATCCATGCAAAAATGTGCAAATTTAGCACAAGATGCTCCGGTTAGCGGTAGAGAAGGGAGGCAGGCCACGCCCACAAGAAACAAGAAGTAAACAGGTCCAACCGGGCTCAGACATGTCCCGGCTCTGTTTTCATATTTTCTTGTTGTTATTTACATAGCAGTGATCTTGTTGCCCTGGCAACAATCAGATGTAAAATGAGCTTGTGAAAACAGGAAACTGAAAATGTCCCAGCTGAACCCGTTTGGTTTGGTGTCAGGAGCTCCTGCTGTAAATCCCTGCCTCACTGATCTCACAGCTTAATCAACACCAATAAAGACGCAGTCTGAGCTCAAACCGCTGACCGGATAGATTTTAGCCACACTTATTGTTTTTAGATGATGACGCCTCATATTTCACCCAACCTGAGTCAGAAGGATGTCAAACAACCTGCCGACATTTTCCTGGACCCCAGATGTCTTAGTTACAGAACCGCTCCCAAACACTCAGAGTGTAAAATGACCCACATTGTTTTCCTCTCATCATAAAACACACAGCGGCTCAGTGGGAGGTGAAAACAACAGGATCCCCCTCTGCATAACTTCACGACGTAGACTGAGAACATCAGATGAGGCAGTTTGATGACCAAGTCCCGCCCCTTTCTCCCACCTAAAGCTTTATAAAAAATAAAACATAATTAATTTTTTTAAAACTCTGGAGTAAAACCAAAACTTTTCACTGTAAAACTATGTAAACAACGATTTAATTAAACATTTTGACATTAAAAAGTACTAAAACATATTTTCAGCCTGACGTTGATCCAACAGGCCATAACATTGCTGTTGTGAAGACAGATCATGAAACGTTATAATCCAGACCATAATAATCGATGCTGCAGTTATTATCTACAGTAGCTCCAATGTAACTTGGTTTAAAGGACCTCAGTGTTTCAACAGTTTTGCAGTTTTCTGGATGTTTGTTCCAGATTAGTAGAGAACAGAAACAGAATTTTATTCAAAGTGCAGCAGCTTAATTTTTCCTAAATTATCAATTAGATCAAATGTTATATCACCCATTATCACTTCTATCCTCCGTCTGTCAGACAGAAGAGACAGGGAGCTTTTCAGGTTTGACAGCATCCTCCACAGATGCTTTTCCTTTCTGTAACCTGGCTCCTTCAGCCCCACCTGGTTGCCTCTGCGCCTACAGCAGACGTGCGTTTCTGCAGTGAACTCAACCAACTGTGAGCTTTCAGAGCTGCTTTTGTCAAATG